GTCGGTTTCGGCGTACCTTTGGGTGGCGTGCTCGCGGTCGATCTTCGCAAGATAGGAGCGGAGATCGGCAACCGCTACCCCGTCGTCCGTCAACGGAGCTGGTACTGTAGTGTGCAAGTAGAAGCGTAGATTTGGCATCAAGGCGTTGCAATGCGGCCCTTGCAATGTTCCGGTTGAGGGTAGAGGTATCCAAGCGAAATCCTCTCTCGTGAGCGGGTCAAGCTCCTCAAGTCTTGACCACGCCATCGAGTCCTCGGAAATCAGTGGCGAACTGACCGGGTCACTTGCCGACGGTGTACAGGCTGCGCATACGCAATCTACATGCACGTGGCTAGGCTGGTCTAATGGTGGTACCAGCTGGGCGGCATAATCCTCGTACGTAGTACGAGAATCAGCGACTAACGCATGCTCCCCGATAGTGACATCGATTGCTAGCAAGGCAACCGGGTCCGGCGGAGTGAGGAGAGACGTTGCCCCTCTCCTTGCGTAACTCAGTATCCCGAGTTTGCTGGACGGGGTACGCGTGCCTTGCCTTTTTCGGGGCATTGTGCGGTCACATGAGTGACTCCGTTGCACCAAAGGCAGTATCTGTACTTCTGACGTAGGTCATAGACTCCTCCTTGGTGATCTTATATGCTGTCCATGGCTGCTGCCCAGCTCCCGTCGCTGCCGTCTCTTGTGTCACCTTGTTCTTACGAACTCTCTTGGGATGCTTCGGCGGGAGGGCTGCGACAATTCCTCCATCACCCGAGGATGCTGCTGCAGCATGGTGGTCGTCGGTTTCCTCATAAATCACGGCATTGTTATGTGTCGGACGTTGATAGGCCTGCTTAGCCACATAATGCGGTTGGGACTGTCTCTCGTTAGCGGCCTTATCGTCCGTTTGGATGACCAAGTTCGCTCGATCCAGAATGGCCTGGAATGTGGTATAGTCGTACTCATTACCGAGTGCCGACCGCAATCCCGCACACGATCGCGAGAAGAACTTGGATCGTTGATTTGGAAAACTCAAATCTAATCCTGGCGTGGTCACTATCTTTTGCCACTTCGTTGTCCAGTCTCGAGTTGGCATGTTCCCCTGAGAGCATGTGTACACCTCATTCATGGCCGCCTTCACGACGTTGCGGACCATGAACCGGGTGAACCATAGCTGCTCGAACTCCTTCCACGTGATGTGCGTGTGGAGTTCGGCGATGGTGCACTTGTGGGAGGCCGCCAGGTGGTTCATCCATGCCTGCGCTCCTCCAATCAGTTGCAAATAGATTGCCTTCAACATGGCGTTCGCCGGGACAGTGCGGCATGACGCTTCTGTGAGGAAACGTTGCCACCATGTCAAAGCGTCCGACTTGTTGTAGTCGTCGAACTTGCAGATGTCGAAGTGCGGCATCTTGAACGTCTTTGTAGCGGCGTCCGGTCTCGTCTGTAGCTTGGTGATGTCCGTCTTGAGGGCGGCCACCGTGCTGCTGATCGTGTCCGGTCCGTTGAAAACACCTATGTCGCCGATGATGGTGACGACGTGATCGATGCGTTCATTGATTTGCTTCGTCGCGTCCGTCGTGCAGCCTGGCGCTGCTGAGGCCTTGGCCTCAATGCCGTTGATGCGTGCGATGGTAGAGTTCATCAGCTGTTGCTGTTGCTGCTGCTGCACTGCTGCGTCGCGGACGTCGGCCGTTACAGCGGCCAGGTCTTGTTGGTACTGCTGTCTTTGCTGACGATCCGCGTGCAGGTGTGCCTGCAGTAGTTTATTGTTCCACATTACTCCCCTCATTACGTTCAACATCACGGTAGCCAGGTTACTTTTCTCTGCTCCGCCTGTGTCGGTTCCGCCTGCGTTTCCGTAGGCACAAAGATCATGTCTTGGAGTAACGTTGTCCACTGATGCTCACTAGCAATCAGGGACTCCGTGCTGGCGGCATTCCGTCTGTTTCGTGCCACTTCGTCAGTCTCAGCTGTCTGCTGAGCTTCGGCTGTCGCTTCGTTGGCCAGCCGCTGACGTTCTGCTTCTGCCGCAGCCTGCTGGGCCTCGGCGGCGGCTACGGCGTCTGTAAATGCCTGTAGCCGCCCACGATAGTCAGCCCAAGACTCGCTGGCCTCTCGGACCGGGCATGCTGGAAAATCTCCGGTGGTGTCTTGTACTATCAATGCCGTACTTGATGCCGCTGGAGTCGTCCGTCTGCTGAATCTCTTGGGT